CAGCCAGCTAGTGTGAAATAAACCAAACCAAAGTCACTACATATGTATAGTCTTGTATTCTGCTTTTCTCCTGATATAATGCCAGGAGTATTAAAGAAATATGATTAGAGAAAATGATGTTTAATGGCTGCCTAACAGTTCATTTTATGGATGTGCCACAATCTCTTAACTGATCTCCTATTTATAATTTTCAGTCTCTAAATAATCTGACAATAAATACCTTTGTTTGGACTTCTATGTACCTCTACTTATTTTTTAAGGATAAATTAATCAAGGACAATTTTGTTAATAATCTAGAGCAGTGATTACCGGTCTCGCACCTAAAAGAATGCTTGAAATTGATGGTAAACTTAATAATTTTTTGTCCAGATTTGGGGAGGAGGTCGGAATCTCAAGACATGGAAGTAACATAGCAACTAAGTTATGTTTTATTATGAATCTTCCGTTATTGTCTATATTCAGTTCTTGAATAAAGGAAGATTTTTACACACTGGAAACCCTTATTATTAGTTTATTTGTCCAGCCAGGGTGGCAAATTTATCACCATGTCATTTAATGAGCTAATTTCTTTCGAGAAGCAAGAAGTGAGCACTTTCTCTATGAGAAAGTCATTAACAATCTTGATCTCTTTCTCTGGAAATGTCATCTTTCATCTCATGCAGGCTTAAGGTAAGCTGGTTAGAGTACTTTGAAATTTGCATTTTCCTGGTCTGGGGAAAAACATACTGAATTTTATTTTTTTTCATTCTGCAAGCCTTGGCATACTTTCTCTCCTAATGAAATATCTCAGGGAAGCCTTTGATAACCACCATTAATTATATCCAATGGCTTTTTCTTGGTGTTTACTCTTTTCCTTCTTTGAAGTACTCAGGACTGCTGAGTGGTAACATGCATGAAGTTTTCTTGCCTTCTGTAAAGCCTGCATTTTCTGGGTCATCTGACTTCTTCTCCACTTAACTCTTTTTGGTTTCCCTCCGTGACTCTTTTCTTTTGTTTCTCACCAGTGCGGGCATCCCCCACACTTCAGCCTTCTGCTCCTGTTCTGTCTCGCTTGGTGACCTCTCTTCTTCCAGACATTACTTTTCACTCTGTGAAGATGACTCTGAAAGTTCCATTTTCAGGCTTCCCCTCTTTCTTCTTACATGCGTTTAGCATAAATCTTCCTGATAGAAAATTTCCTTGGGCTTCTTACAAACACCTCAAACTCTGCCTGATCCAATCCAAATTTGTACCCTCTACTTCAAAATGGTTTCTCTTGTTATTCTCTTTTTATCGTCTTTAACTCCTTCCTCCTATTCAATCAGTTGGGAATTCAAGGTCTTCTATAATTTGGTCCCAAGCCACGTATTCAACTTTATCACTTATGTCCATCATAAATTTTTGCTCTACTCACCATCTCCAAACAGCCTGAACATTGCTCTCTTCTCGTTTGTATACAAATTAGTAAATTTACAAAATTCAAAAGTTTGGATTTAATGTTCTGTGTGATGTCAATCAAATTTCTCTCACTTCAGTCTTCTAAGTCAGCATAATAGTAACCTCCTTCATAGTGTCTGTGCAATGATTACATAATATACGTGGAAGTGTCTAGCATGGCATTTGGCACATTATATACTTGCAATAAGTATTTGCATATTTGTTTGTTCATTTATCACTCTGACCTTCACAACTAACATTTGCTGTGAAAATTTTCATTCTCATAGCCCCCTAAACTCTCAGTTCTGACCTCCTCTATCTTTCATTCATGTATAAGTGCAAAGTGTTAGCTGGCATTCCTTGAGTAGACTTTCTACAAATATACTAAGTACCTTAACATGAGAAACCCTACTTCACATTTCTGTGCATAAAGGAAGTACTCAAAATATTGAATCCAGAACTACTTTCCTCTCAATTATCAAGCAAGTTTCATACCAAATTAGCACAGTATAGTAGAGGAGAAAACAGTTAATACTACTTGTTCATTTTAATCATAAATCAAAAGGAAGGTCAGGTACAAATGTTTTATTTCCATAACAAAGTAATACATTGCTGAATGTCAATTCTTCCTGATATAAGTAGAAGTCAAAAATACATACATGTGGTATAAAGGAGATACACACTTTGGCATGTTTATTAGAAACAGCACATGAGTATTTTGTAAATTATCTAGAATTCTCTCTATTGACATTATCTTCTATCGTAACATTTGTCTGGTAACTGGTTAAGTAGTTTCCTTTGATCTGTCATTTAAAAACTAATTGTTTTTGTTCAAATGACTTGGTATTTGCATTTATTGTCTTTCTTGTGTTTGCAATAAACTGAATAGTTGGATGCTCTTATTTTATTTCTAAAATTATAATCAAATCATTGGCATTGGCTTGTTAAGTTTTAGGAGAAAATAACTTTTTAATGATTTACAGCACCAGCATCTTGCTAATGCTACTTCTTCTGAAACAAATGCCTTCAGAATAATCTGTATAAGTTCTAGATCATAATGGAGTTCTTCCCCAACAGGATAATGGCACATTTTAAAGTGCCCAAATGTAAAATTGAAATTATAACCCTAGTAAAATTGAGCCTCTTTGGAATGGTATCTAAATCTCCTAGACAAAATTTAATGGGATAAAAGTACAAGACATTCTGTGGGAAGAGACAGGCTAATCCTGAGTCCTTAATAGTGGGCAGTAAACGTGGTAAGCAGAGTGGCAAACGCTTTCTTGCTTTTTTCTAGCACAGTGGATTTTATTAGCTTCTAGGACACCCAGGGTCCCCAGGAGATGTCACAGAGATTGTACAGTGGGGGGTGGGAAAGATATGTGGCAGGGAGAGGGCTGAGGAGGACCAGCTGGGGGCTTCACACTTCCCGACCACCGCTTCAACTTTCTCAGTGACTCACATCTGATTTATATATGGAGCCTCTGAGCGAGACAATGTTTGAAAGAAAAGATCTGCTACTAGAAAAACAATGATTAAGTATCTTTGTTTTAGAATCCACGTAAAAATCTTTCAAATGAGGGGGCTGGTGTATTTATAGATGACAATAAACATTTTAAATCTAATTTCTCCAGTAGCCTTTCATTGGGCCAATCATTTGAATTTGTAGTCTTGGGAAGAAATTGAAGAAGCCCAATGCTAGAAACTGCTCCAAGAGTCTTCTCAAGTTGTACCCTTAGTCAGGGATTGCATGAAATTAAATATCACCCAGCTCTCCACCCCATCCCAACTCAGACACTGGTTTCTTGTTCAGACTCCTCCAGTTTTGAGGAAAGATTAGGAGTCCTGTGCTCTAATAGCCCAAATGTTTAGGGACCTGTTGCCTTTCAAATCTTGAGGAAATGCCCTTCAAGTTGCCTGCTCCTGCCCCATCTCTTGGTGGGAAATCACTGTAGAAGCAATTATGCTTTTATGAACAATGTTACTAAGCATCCCAGCCCTGCTGCTTGGCCATTGGCAATTCTTATCTCCTATCCTAGATCCAGCATGTTAATCCATAAGCATGCATTGGCTTGGCCGCACTCCTCCAGAAGCCATGGGGTTCACCTAGAACTTGCAGGAGTCAAGTACCTCCATGCCCACTTCCACCAGAACCACATAGCTCTTATTACCAAATTCCCAGGGGTTACATGCTTCCAATTTCTGAGCTCTGTACTCTCTTATTAGTTAGCTAGGAGAGTATCTACTTGAGCAGGAGTGTGACAAGTTTTGTCAGTTCTGCTCTTAAAAACGAGTCAGAATACTGTATTAGTGCTACTTCTCCATGATTCATCACCTGTGAACTGAGCCACCATTGTTTTCGACTAGGAAAAGTTCACAGTAAGTATGTGTTCCATGACATACAAATCTTCTGAGATACTTAGTGAAAAAAGAGTTTCTGTGGTCAAATGTATTTGAAAAAATTGTGTCGCTTTTGGTGATTAACAATGTGCATTAGAAAGGCAAAGTGGGAAGGAATATTTCTTGAATTTATTTGATCATATTTTTAAGTCCTTTCTCCTAATCTCCCTTTCTTTTTCCTTCCCTTCCTCTCTCTTTTTCTTCCTTCCTCCATTGCTTTCTTTTTAGTAACATTAGTTATCTAGGACTCCATGGGAAATGTATTGGGAAAACACTGTATGTACCTGTTTTAAAAAACATTATGGTGAAAGTCATTTTTAAAAATCACCCCTGTTATTTGGTACCAAGCATTTGGGAGTTTTTCAGAAGTAAACTATTTTAAAATTGAATTCAGTTAATCCATTTTGGGTATATGGATCAGAAGCACAAGATGGCAGATTTGGGACAAGCCCTGTTAGCATCTCGTTGTCATTTTATAAACAGGGCACAGACATAGATAAGGTATAATCTTTCATACTGAGTTTATAAAGAGGTTGAAAGAACTATTTTAAGCAACTTAAGTACAGCAATAGAGATGCAAGCTCTGGGCTCAAGACACGTGGGCTCAAACCCTGACTCTGCCACTCACTGGCTGAGGTAATGTGGGTAAATATATCTGTGCCTCAGTTTCCTCATTTGTAAATGTGACGGCAATTGTATTGTCCTGAAAGAGTCATTACGATGACTTAATGAGATTAAACAGCTGAACAGCTAAGCGTAGTGTTTGGTACGTGGAAATAATACAAGATATTAATATTATTAAACACATTAGTCAGGATTGCGTAGTTCATATAAAGTTAGAGGCGACACGTAATTCTACAGAGAATTTGGAGGATCGTAAGAATGGAGAAATGATGGGGAGGAAGAAATTATATAACTGAGGTCTCTATATTGATAGCCCCCAATACTTTGGTATATGTAACATTTTTTTTGGAGGGGAGTCAATTCTGCCTTGAACTTACAACTCACAAATCCTCTCAGTGTGAGGTGGTGGCTGGCACTTCTGGTCTGGGCGTTTTGTGTGCTAAGGCAGAATCCTATCCATTTACCCAAAAGTCCATGGGGGACTGCATTTTTCTGAGAGAAACCACAGAAGGAAGAAAGTTTCCTGTCTGTGAGGCTAGCAAGCACGAGCCGCCATTCCCTACCTGAATGGGTAGGCAAATGCGATGTCAATGCTGAGGTTACTTTCTGTCTTGTTGACGCAGTCCACACTCAGCCGCAGGCCTCCGGAATAGCCACCGCATGTTGCAAATGCAAAGATTGCAAAAAGCTGTGGAGAACAAGCAAACAAGAGAAGGCAGCCATTAGGATGATGTTGATCTAATGAGACATATCAAAGGGAGCTTAGTGTCCAGACTGAGAGAGGTTATGGTTCTTCTGAAGAGAAACATCACGTTTGGTTCAAGCTGGAGGATGAAAGGTAGAATGATGGTGTGGACTGGGGAGGTGGTATCTGAAAGAATAGTCTGGCAAGCTAGAGAAATGTTGCTTGGAGAGTAATACAAGACAAGGACAAAATAGCTGTGCTTGAGTGTGCGAAGAGTTGTCATGCCTCAGAGGGTAGAAACAGAATCCCACAGTCAAAGACCTGAAAAGCAATGCATCAACAGGTTAACAATGGATATCTCCAGGTAGGAAGACTTTGGAGTGTCTTCTTTTTGTTTGGCTGTATTTTCTGCAATAAACAGAAATGGAATAATGTAGATGGGTTTTTAAAAAGACATGGTCAGAGAATTCTAGAGCTAGAAGTTTGAGGAAGAGTCGGTTAGTATGTAAGAGGTGCTATTTCAGAGCACAAGATCTCAGTGTATTTCAGTCTCAAACCCCCATTGGTGGTTATATCTCTGTGTTGGTTATTATATCTAAGTCATCTATTAAAAGTTTCAACTTCTTATCAGTTAATGTCATAGCCTAGTATGATGTAGAACATAAATCTGTGGGGAACCAGCCACCAAAAATTAGGAGCAGAAACTCAGAAAAGTCTTCTAGAAAGAAGAAACACCTAAGAAGGTGGGATGGCCCAAGACAGGAAGTAAGCAAATGCCAAACTTTGTTCATTTCATAGTTTGGCTAACTTCAAAAGAATTTCCTGCTCATTTCCAAAGAAAGTCAATCAATGGCACTTAATACTAACACATGTTGCAATATTGCAATTTATCTTGTATTAATTTTGGAATTCAGCTCCAGCTTCTTGCAGTAGCTTGGGGTCCCTGCCAGGAACACGAGCTCACTTTGCATAGTGAGAGGAGTTATTGTGTAGGAGTCAAGTGCATGGGCACTGGAACGTGACCTTGGAAAAGTTGCTTAATTTCCCCATGCCTTGATTTCCTCATCAAAAATTTCATTGATAATAACTCTTTTGGGTGGTTTTGCCATTTGATATGAAACAATTGCCGTGGGCAAGAAGGCTGCTGGAACTGGCGAGATCACCAAGTCTTTCCAAAAAGTGAAATGAATATTATCCACAACACTTGCCACCTCAATCAGTGGTGGAAAAACAGCCTCAGAATTATTTGTCTCAATTGGCCATTTAAATTTTATAGGAAAAGACTGGCTAATGGTAATAAGGCATTTAAAACCTTCACAGGGAAAGCGATGTTTCGTGGGCCGTTTTTGTGTGTGCGGTGGTTTTGAGTTATTTGTTTTTTAAAACCAATATTTTTAACATGGAAACAACTTAACCATAAGATATAGTAGTTGTATTAAGACAAAATGTGTTAATATGTGTGAACGCTAACATGTGTAAAGCATTTATATAGAACAGATCCTGGCACAGAGCTGGCACTCCATGAATGTTAACAAATATTATTACTGCGAATAGTGGATGCTCCAGGCCATAAAATGAGGAATTTAGACTTAATCCCTAACTAAATCTACAGGACTGTTATCCCCAGTGAACCAACATCCAAGCAAGTCCAGAAAAACCGATCTTTTTTTGCTTTTTGCTTTGTTTACTTTTCTTGCCTAGGACTTGATGAAGCATTCAGAAGCTATTCTATCCCACCCCACAATCTGAGGGTGATGCATAGAATGCCAGGTCTCAAGGGAAACTGATCTTTATCCCTGTGGTATGGATTTGCTTAATTCTCATGTCAGCTCTTCGTATTAGTAGGAATACAGAGAAATTTTAATTGTTCAATGCTTAAATCTAGGTTTCATTATATAATACTGGATGTGCCAGCCCCTTGTGTCATGTCAAGATAGCATCTTTGGTAAGACTTCTTCCAAAAGAAAGTATAGAGCGATGGAGTCCGAAGCCCCATGCTACAGCTATGGAGATAACCCTTTGTGTCTCCAAGTTTCCTCATCTGTAAAGAGGGATATCTCCTATATCTCCCTGAAATGGCGAGAGAATGAAAGGAGAAGGAATATGTATTTATGAGCTGCCTTCTTCCAATTCATGCAGAGATTCATGTGATGTTTATACATATGCATTTCTCTGGGGCAAGAGTCCTACATGTGTAATCAGTAGCTGCACACATAAGGTAAGAAGCGATTGTCTATTGTGGCCACTTTAAAGTGCCTCTCATGGACCAGGTATTATGCCCAGCACTTAACATATGTGGTCATATTTCCTAGTGACAACAATTTTGCATATGTGGGCAGGGGTGTGTGTATGTATGTATATGTGTGTGAATGAAGTTTAATATTCCTGCATTAAAGATATGGTAGAATAGCATGGTTGCTTCAAAAACTTGCATCCAGAAAATTCCCTGGGACATTAACACACAGCAAATGAGAGTTGAAGGACATAAAAACAAATCAAGTCAATTTCAGTACTTAGTAGCTATAAAGAAACTACCTTGGCTTTTCGTCTTATATTAAAGTGCTTTATAAACAGTAAGGTATTATTAACACTGTCATGTAATACAGATGGAATGATAATTACACATTTAACCAGTTCAAAATGTTAGATACATGGAAAGGGGGGCTCAAGACTATTGAAACCACGTACACCATTATTTTTTCTTTTAGTTTCCATTGAGCTCTGAAAATACAAGACATTGTACTTGAGTTAAGTATCATACCTATGGGCTTTCTGATTAAGTTTCTCTCCTCCCCATAGTCTTCATTGATTAAAGGGAAATCATACTGTGTGACCAATATCAAGTTCACACTGGTTTGGTGAGGATTAAACAGATAATGGCTGTATAACACTGGAAGAGTCAGATCCTGCTGAGTGAGTAACTTATTACAGGGATGGTTGATTCCATGTTTGGGAGAGTAAAATCAACTCCTCCAGAGTTCATCAGCCAGGGGTGTGGGCCTGTAATTAGAATACATCAAGACACAGTGAGGAGAGGGGACTGGAGGCTCTTTGAAGGGGTTGAGATTCTCTTGGTGCTGCAGAGAGATGTAGAGTAGGAGGAAACTTCCGAAATCCTCCCAGGACTCCACCCAACCACTCCACCTTAGGTGGGGTAGTGGAGCAGCTCTCGGGTGAGGCAGACCTGAGTTTGAGTCCCATTCCTAGCTGTGTGACACTGGGTAAATTACTTCACTTCTCCAAACCTCAGTTCCCACATCTACTAAATCAAGACTAACTCATTGATTTCATTCGGTAGGTGTTTAATGGTAGACTTACCATATGCTAGCTGTTGGGGAGCAGAAAGGCAAAAAAGTCAAAGACAAAGATAAGGAAGGTCCCTGCCCATCATGGGGCTTCATTTTAGATGGGAGAGACACAACCCCAAAGAACATGCAAATAAAGTCATCACAAGTTGTGTTCGATGTTTTGAGGAGAGGCTATTCTGCGCAGAAAGTTATGCCTGAGGGTGTTTAAGCTAAGACCTGCAAGAGGAATGAGAGGAAGCCCTGAAAAAGTGGGGGCACAAGTGCTGTGGGCAGAGGGAACAGCTTATGTGACAATCCTTGGGGAGGAAAAGCTTGACAAGTTTAAGGAGCCAGTGGAAGGAAGCCAAGGTGGCAGTTGAATGGCAAAAGAGGTGGAGAATAATAATATTGACCTCAAATGGTTGTTGTTCTTGTCAACTGAGAACACATGTGAAGCATCAGGCTCATTGCCCTCAATAAATGTTAGAGTATCTTCTCCTTTTTTGTCATCTTTTCCCCCCTTCTTACTACTTCAGCTACTACTACTACAACTACAACTACTACTAGTACTATTATTACTACTCTACTGAAGAAACTGAGAATAGACAGGAAAATTAACTTTCCTCAACTCAGCTAGAAGCAGAGTTGGAACTGGGATCCTAGTGTCTGGGCTCTCTGGGTCAGTGTTATTCTAGTTAGTTCTAGAATTTCAGGAAGAACAATTTTTGGCCATCCGAATCGGAGGTGACTCTCAAAGAGTCCAGTCTTCTTTGCCCAGATATGCACCATGGCTGCTTTAGTGACCTGAGGTTCTCCACATTTCTCCTGTGTGTGTCACTCATACCTGCAAGCTCATTACCAAATGCATGCTTTGTCGTCACTTTCTTTTTATTCTTTTCTTCCTCCCTTCTTTTCCTCCCTCCCTCCTTCCTCCCTCTTTTTATCCTTGATAGGGTGGAGGAATTTAGAAGGAAGACCTTGGAAGGCATTTTAAAGAGAAAGAATCTTCCTTGGCTTGACAACTGATCCTCCGAGAAGCACTTAATATTAGAAACAGGAAGGGTTGTGTGTCTTATGGATGCCCAGCTCTGCAAGACTAAGGCCTATTCCTAATGCAGACAATATCCTCTTCTGGGAGAAGGGGAAGATAAAATAATTTTCTGCTATGCAGCCAGGTTGGAATGAGAACTGGAGGTGAGACCTAGAAAACCAAGGAAGGAGAAAAGCCTGAGGGGCCAGTATGAGTGTGTGTGTCGGGGGTGAGGAAGTCGAAAGAGGGTGCAAGAGAGGAGCTAGAGAGCAAGATCTCCAGCTGAGGCGGATCCTGTAATGAACATAAGCAGCTTGCTGAGGGACGTTAAGACATGGTGTGTGTGTGCACATTCGTCCTCAGCCAGCACACTGCTTGCTTTCTGGTAATGCAGTGTGCTAGCTCACCTTTCTAGACACTGAAAGCATAACCAGAGGCAAAAGCCCATTACCCACTTACGCGGAATTATAAAACATCTTTACTCAAGCTCCCAATTCTCCTCAAACAATGCAGAAACCTTACCCTCCAGCACATTTTAAGATAATCAATACCATAACCACTGGTCTAATCATTCACTTCCCTTGAGTTCAGGAGACCAAAATAAATCTGCAATGAACTCTCATTTTACTACTGTCTTGGATGATCTACGGCTCTAACAAAAAATTACTTTCAAAATGGACAAAATT